GTATTTGGGAGGGACTTGATACCTTGAAGATGGAGACAGCGAGTTTCTCTGAAGTATTGGTACTTATCTACCATACCACATGGCATTACATTCCAGGATACAGGCTACAGAAGCTGCAGAGAAGAACGAAACATGTTTTATGCTCCATTCACTCTATCCACAGGTCTTTTATGGTTTTCGAAGTACTCATAATTAAAGAAAAGAGACCGAAAACTCCCCAATATCAAATATGAAAATCCATTCAGCATGTGAACAGACAGACAGGGTGATGTCCACAGCTCTCATCATGAACGTCGAGCTTCAAGGGTGATTGTACCACTGTGTCTGTTTGTTCGGGAGATCCCAGGATGAAATCTCAGCATGGGAACCAGTTATTCTGACTGAGGTTTTTCTTTATTTTCCTCAGTTCCTCCAGATAAATGATGGAATAGTGTGTTAAGTATGTCATGACCTTTTCCTTTCGAATCCACTCCAGTTCATTGTTCATTAACTGTGCTTTCATTTGGCACTGTATAGTTTCAGTTTCCTACAGTGTTGCTAAATAAAACCTAACTAAGTAAATTGCTGCAGACATGCAAAAAATTGAAATGTGTATGTGTTGCAATGCAGTCTAGCAGTTAATAAGCAGAACGCATCTAGCAGCCACAGCCAATGAGAATGGGTTCAGTCACTGTTATGAGGGAAAAAATTGTGCAGGCATATTTTGTATTTTATGTCTGCTAATTCTGGAGAGCGTGGTTGTTTATTTTTTTGTTTAGTGAAGGAATTGGCAACTCAGTTATTTCAGCGGGCTAATTAGTCTAGTCAATATAATGACTGCATTACAGACTTGACCAAGATTCTGTTCCCTGCATAAGTAAAGATTTTTCTTTTCTCCGCTGAGAGCCACAGCCCACGCTTTCAAATTTGTTTAGGGGTTTGTGGTTGATTACAGAAGACATCTTGGATAGGTGCTCCTCATGCCAAGATTTCAACCCAGAACCCCACGAGTGTGAAGTATTGCCCACTCGACTGAAACATTCTGTAGTTTCCATTATAGCATGTTATTTGAGTCTGTCCACAGATGGCTGCTAGTGGTGTCAAGCCTGGCCCCATATGACTGCAAAAGACATTCTTCTCTATTCACATTGGGAACAAACTTTTTACTTTATGTTAGACACTGTGAATTTCTGTATCTCATCTGATGAACCTGTTCTGCAGCCCACATAGCAGCATCGATGTTGTTCCGGCCCAGATGTACAGTTGTACAATGAAAAGGTGCAGCAACAACAAATGTACTCCTTAAAAATTCTTTCTGTTGCCCTTATTTCTTATGATAATTAACTAACTGTAGATCTGTGCCCTACTTAAGAAGCCGCCAGTTGTAGCTACTCAAGAACTTCCCAGCATTTTATGGAACTTGTTGGAACATTACTGTGTTCACAAGAGCCCTCCAGTGGTCCCTATCCTGAGGCAGATCTATCCAGCCCATACCACCCCACCCTGTCTCTCTAAGGTTCATTTAACTATTATCCACCCACCTACATCTTGCTCTTCCTAGTGGTGTCTTTTGTTCTGGCTTTCCTACCAATATCCTATATGCCTTAATCATCTACCCCAATTCGTGCTATGTGCCCTGCCCATCTAGTCCGTGATTTGATCATTCTAATTATACTTAGAGAAGAGTACAAGTTATGAAGCCCTTCATTATGCAGTTTTCTCCAACCTCCCGTCACTTCATCTCTCTTCGGTCCAAATATTCTCCTCAACACCCTGTTCTCAAACACTCAGTCTGTTCCTCCCATAATATCATAGACAAAGATTCACGCCCATACA